CAACCATCAATCAACCATCTTTACTGGACACCATCCTCAAGTATTTTAATATTCAACGTGACGACTGAGGTGTAAAGAGAAGGGGAAAGCTTTCACCTGTGTCTGAAAACATTCTTCGTACCCATCTGCTTGTTTCTGTAACTGTGTGATGGCAGATATTAAATATTGTAATTTGCCTGGGTCCCAGAGAGACACTACGTTTATCAAGCCCCGGCGCCTCCGTGTGACTTAATCATCGTCTCATTTGGGGCTTCGTCTGGAAAAAGTTTAGCTGTGCTTAAATTAAAACGAGGGGATATTTAGATAATGAGAAATGAGCAACCAGTTGAAAATTGATTATTTGACCACTCTCAAAATTTTGCAGGATGATTTGTGGTTCGATAAACAACACCACAATTTACTGGAAGGCAACATAGTGTGGGCATCCAGATAAGCTTTTACTAGAAGGGTGTTTTGGTTTTATGAATTTGACTTTGACCTGAAAGGTCATCATAAATTCTATGTTTTAGAAAAGAGGGTCATTTAAACCATCATACTTTTGGTCCACACAGTCACGGATCTTAATGAAATTTGATGTGCTAATTTGATCACACGAGGAAATTATGCAACTGAAATTTCATGTGTCGCTGATCCTAATGAAGGGAGATTTGAAGTGTTCATACCCATAGGTCACAGATAAATGGTTCTCATATCCTTTTAAATCTCCCTTCCAGCTCATATTTATCTAAACAGACTCTGTGATGTGGTGAAGCAGCAGTGATTCCAAGTTACCAAGATTTGGCAGTCAGGTAATCTCAGGTTCAGTAACAGAAAAACAGCAACAACATTAAAACTGGAAGCAAAATCACTGTATCACTGCCTGGCTAAATAAAAAAATCTGTTCACTACAAACGTTAAGCAACTCCATACCACTTCATGGTTAGAGGCCATTTTTCAAACCAATGCGATAACAACCTTACACCTATCTCACTCAGGTTTTCAACTAGTTTAACTGTGCACTAATAATTTTCTATCCATGCAATGTCAGCATCATATATGAGCAATCATTTATACTTATAATGTGTATATTTTGTTTACATTATACATATTTCTATATTTGATAGTTCCTTGTGTTTATATTGTATTTTTGATTATCTTTTCTGAGTGTGTGTTTCACTATTCCCTTCATCATAGTGGGACCAATAAAGGACTATAATATCTTATCTTGATTTTCTCATGTCAAAAAATATATTTTAGGCGATGCAAAGTTTATTGCACATCATTTTGTATCTTATTGATTAATTTCAGATTTCTAGAGTTTTTGTCCTAGCGGGGATCATGTTTGTGGCAAATAAACTATAGTTAAGATATCGTGAGGATGAGACGACTAAAACACACAAGAAAACCTCAAGTCTTCCTAATAAATGGCGAACAAACTTCATGCTCCTCGACCATTCCAACTTGCTTGCTGCACTTCAAGACCATTTTTCGCCGAGCACGTCAGTGATGAGTGCAAGCTTTAAAATAAATGTCTCATTCTTTCTTGTGCTCTTGGTTGATATTTCAAACACTTCGGATGTCAGATCTGGAAAGACACAAGCTATGACTGTGTCGGTGGCTGATTGAGGACACTGCTGATGGGAAAACCAGCGTCTAGAAGATTAGGTAACAGCTAGAGAAACTGGACTTTTACCCCATGCATAATACATGGGACAAAAACTAAACAACTGCAAAGGAACAGACTAATAAACCGACCCGTTTGATGACTCGAACCAATCCACTGAAAAAAATCCATCCAGCACTCACTTAGAGGCACGAGGGGAGGATCCACCCTCCGTTACTCTGGCACCGTTCTTTCCATATTTCCCTCAACATTTATTGGTATTAAAATACATCTAACAACCTCAAACATTTTCCACAGTTGCTTTATCAGGTCTAAGAGCACAAAAAAAAGGTTTAAGATGGTTTCACATGCTACTAAAGACAGATCTGCAAATACATACTGTGACTGCATTGCATTGTGGTCAGCGGAGGCTGGGAATCACAACATCTCATTCTTCAATGATTGGTTTTGTGCTGGTTTGATGATATTTGATTCTTATCAGCTTTTCTTTTGTCCCATCTCCTTTACTATGTCCTTCTTAGTCTGTTGCATATTTCAGCCTGGAGCTTCGAGCCAGACTGGAGCTTAAAACCAAAGAGATGTGCCATTGTTAACAGGAGAAGAAGTTCAAATTAACAATGGCAATGTGATTCCCCGGAGGGCAAAACACCCACAAGTCTGTCTACACTTGGCCTATATACACTGCCTGCTACAGACTTTCCCACATCACCAGGCTTTTCTCTTGCACCGCTGCTGCAGGATCTTACTACCACTTCCTCCTGGGGATCCAGAAAGAGTGCCGCAGCGGTGCAGCAGGCATGTGATAACTAGCGCTTCTGTCTGTGAGGGCTACAGCAAGTATGTAGAGGTCTGAACCAAAAGGTGCCATAAAGACATAATGAAAGCCCTCCATCATCGTGCAGCACTCATTCGTCTCCCATGAGCCTGAGAGGAAGTCAGAGCAGGGGAAACTAAGTATAAAAACACATAAAAGGGGCAAGAAACTTGTGTCTAAAAGCAGAAAGGTCCTCTCAGCAGATGGGGTTAATGGGAAGTGAAGCAGGAGTAGCCTGATAAAGAGGGGTTAGAGCCATAAATGAGGGCTTTGAATGTGCCCTTGTACGGCACACATGGATTAGACGGACAGGAAGAGAAGACATGCAAGTTGAGGAAGAGGCGTAGATAAAGAATACAGCAAAGGGGGAAGGAGCATTGAGGGATGTGTCTGAACCAAAAGAGATTTGATTTGGACATATCTGAAATGTTGAACACAAAGACTAGAGAAAATATCGTTTTGAGGCTAAAGCAACAAAACGATATTGATACAATTGGGGCCACAAGTGGCAGTGACACGATAATGGACAATGCTAACATGTATAGCATAAAAGTGGCAAGTGTGTAGAAGAACCAGTGAACTGACATAGCATCAGTTACACAAGAAAATCCAGTCTGTGTTGTTTTGAAAATAGCTCAAAATAGTCCGGAACCCAAAGGGACGTCTAAAAAATGTCTCGATTTATCAACCATATATTTAAGACTTAAATCTACCTACTAATTCCACAAAGGTCTGTCTGTCTGTCTGTTTGTCTGTCTGTCTGTCTGTCTGTCTGTCTGTCTGTCTGTGTGTGTGAATGTGAAAAGCATAACAGACATTTGAGTTTAATTTTATGAAAAACACTGACTATAAAATGTTCATTGCAGATAAACCTGGTAGGAAGAACACAGCATTTTCTAACTTCACTCTGCAGCATAAAAGCAATTAAAAAGTGACAGTATGTTGTAGAACTGTTTGAGGAGGACTCACTAGTGACAAGGAATATTTCTGAAGAAGCTCCAGAGCATTTACACACGGCAAGAAAACAGCCCATTCCAAGCGGAGTGGTTTAGAGCAGGCACTGTTCTTGTATATTCACTTTACAACAATTCAAAACTGAGAAAATCCTCACATCTGTGAAGCTGAATCCAGAAAATATGTGCTACATTGCCAGAAATTAGTTTATCTGTCTCTATCTGGAAAAAAAAAAAAAGAAATCCTATTCATCTGCGATTGTTCCATGCCAAACTCCACCCAGGCCTGTCTGCAGGTTGGTAGGTATATATGGTGAGCTGCAGATGATGCTATATTTGAAAAAGAAAAACAACCTTTGCAATTACAGCTATGGCAGCTACATAACCGCAAATGCTGCAGCTCGTCTCGGAGACGTCATTTCTTCCCTCAAAAAGCCCATTTGTACAAATGTGTTCCTCATTTTTGATTTTACGAGGAACTTCACTGTAGGAACAAGGATCCACAACACTGTGGTGTGGAAGGGCCTCCTGATAATGGGATGATGGTTTTATGCAGCGTGTAAACTGAGATCAGTGACTCTGAATACATGGATTTCAACTTGAACCTTTGGATTATCTAACTCCTATAGCCCCAGTATGAAGCATAACGTCCTCCAAATAACACTCAACATTTCATTATCAACTAGATCACGACACAAGAAATAAATTCTGTTCAAGCTGTATGTTGATCTGATGATTGTTGGTAAAATATTGGATAACAGGAAGCAAAATTTGCTATTTTTTACTCTATCATCCCTGCTACTGTTTCATTACCTCTGCTAAGGAAGTTGTGTTTTCATCTGCATTTGTTTCAAAAATCAGCCATGTTTAAAGACTGATGTGTATGACTTTATTCGATTTGGTGCAGATCCAAATAAAAATCTGTGTTTAAGAGTTTGAATGTGGTTTCATAAGGCGACTCTTGTGGGCGAACATGAGTGCGATTCTTGTTTTCCTGCAGTATTCATATTGATCTTTTCTTCAATACCTAAACATGAATTTAATCAATCAAGTAGTCAGAGTGACTAATTATTACTAGTTTCGAAATGTGTTCTTTTCTCTGTTTTCGTGAAAATCTTAACCAGAAAATCAAAACAAGACATCTGACAGCATCATTTTGGATTGTTGGAGACAACATCAGATCTTTTTTTGAGTATTAATAGACAAAATGCATCCAGATGAATCCCACAATTCAACGATGAAAACTTGTATTAGCCCTACAGCAGAATATTCCAACAACCCCTTAAAGAGTCCTGAACCAGACTGCATGGCTCCTGTCAGGCCGATCAATCCAAGACAACACTCTCACCTCTGTCAGGACAGAGAGGACAACATGTACCAGTGGACACATGATAATACAATATACAATCCACTAATAGACCTTCTCCACTCCTCTGATTATTAAATATGTATATCGGGAAAAGTTAGTGAATGTTCTTAATGTAGAAAATTTTAAATAATAAACAATAAAGTGGAAGTTTATGGTGACCTCATAGGCTTCACTCCTCATGGTTCCACTATAATACTCAAATTGTTCCTATACGTGTTCTTCCTGACGTAGGACCACAGGAGGGCTGCTAGAGTGCCTCACCTTTGAGCAGGGGCAGCGGGGTGAGCTCCACCAGGGAGCTCTGGTAGCGGAACTGGGACGAGCTGTGGGACCTCCTCTGCCGGGCCCTGCGCATGGACCGGCGCGGGAAGCCGTCCACCTTTTCCGCGGAGGGCACCGAGAAGCTGGTGGTCGGCGAGGACGGGCTGGATGGGGGCAGCTTGGTCGTCTCCATTGTGGCTGTGGACTGCTGTAGATGGCTGCGGTGCGCCTTTACGCGTACGGGCGCGTAAAAAGAGGCGTTGGAGAGAATGTATACACTTGGGTGAAGTGAGGGGAGGATGGAAGAATGTGAATAGGCTCTCTGAATCACCGATGGATTATCAATTGATCAAAATGAAAGAGAGGCTTCGGGGGGAGGGGGAGGAGGGGAGGAAGGGGTGAGAAATAAAGGGGAGGAGAGGAAGGGGAGAGGTGCAGTGGCAGAGGAGAGGTGGATTTTTTTCCTGGATGCCTCGGTGTCGGTATCAGAGCCGGAGTGGAAATGTCAGCAGCAGCAGCAGCATCTCTGGCTCTTCCTCTTCTTCGTCTTTACGCACGGATGAAAAATCGCGTGTGTGTCATCCCCGTGGAGGAGCAGCCTGCACAGCCTCCAGATGATGCTCAGACATGCAGGCGCGTCTCCTCACACACACACACACACCTCTGTGCTGCTGTATTGGCGTCACACACACACACACACGAGTCATGGGCCTGAATCAGGATGTTTCTGATCCTGATGTGAAATCAGAAAAAAAGAATAATCGATTGACCTCCTGCTGTGTATCCACATGAAAAAAACAAAGCAGCAGACTCCAGGTCAGTTTACAGCCTCTTGGTGGATGTTGGTATCATGAAATCATCAGTCTGGGCCCACCTCGGCTGCCGCATCACTGTCGTCCTCCTCGTTTTTAACGCATCCTCTGTCGACCCTCACATGGGCCGCACCTTCACACGAGCTAATATTATTATCAGAAGAGGTTATTATTATCTCAGGTGATGTAAATGTCGCGGTTCCTCCTCCTGCTCCTGCCCGTCCTCCAACCGTATCAGGGCGGGGAAACAAACGCTGCCTCACCGCGCCGACATGTGCAGGTCCTCCGCCGCTCCGCTCCCGTCTACGTCCCTTTACCTCCCAACAAGAAACGGGGGAGGAAACGCGAAAAGCAGCCGCTCCCCCCTCACTCTCTCTCTCTCTCTGGAAAAGAGGCGAAGGCCCGTGTTATACAATAGCCCCTCGTCTGTGTGTGTCAGACTGACGCGCTCCGCTCCTGTTCCCCCTTCTCGGTTCCCGTTATCCGGTCCGTCCTACGGCGCCGCGCATTGCTGCGTCAAGAGGCCCACAGTGAGGTGAGGAGATTACAGGAAATGGGGCGTCTTTGCTTTCAAAATAAAATAAGGAGGGGGGGG